CAGGGTCCCTGCAGCCTTTACCACCACCTACACACACAAAATATATGATCAAAGATTAACATGTGTAATTACTGCCCAGGCCTGTAGTGGGCGCTGCAGAAATGATAACTATGATAGGAACAATTTTATGCGTTTCAAAAGAAATTTCGCTCAGCCTGAATAGTGCTATGTCTGTAATATATTATTAATAAATGACTAGCTAACTTTACCTAGTATTCAATTTCAGGGTGGTTAGCAGTTGCGAAAACATTGCATTTTTCAGTTTGTTTGCACTTAGCGTCTCCGAGATCTTTCTTTACTCTTTATCCTTTAATAAGTTACATGAGGACATTTGAGCTGTCAGTCCCTAAGTGCAGATGTTGTGGGGGGTTCGTTAGCAGATCCTGGGGCTATAATAGTCTAACTTTTTAACTTGAGAGTATAATTATGCCCAGGCTCCTCCCATCAAATTAACTTCAAATTTAAAAATTATTTTTTTAAGTTCTTTTTGTGATTGTCCCACCCCCAAAAATGAGTGCCCCCCTTTACACTTTATCTCTTAGTATCTTCTCCTGACCCTGGATATGACCTTTTCAGACAGACAAGCCTCTACCTGTCTGTTTCCAGCACAGCACTACGCTTCCCCAAGGGTCCGCATCTGCAGTCTATGGATGTATATATGTTCATCGCAAATCCACTGGAAGCTCCCAGGGAGCGGGGCTTGGATAACAGCACAAAGGAGCTTTGTTAACCGCACTGAGCAAAAGGGCTGAATGTCTCTGCATGCTGGCATGTGGTACTTAGGAGCCTTGGCTGGCTCTCTCTCCATTTCCATCTATAAGGAGCTGCTCCTTTTTAAAGTCACCTTCATCCAACCCCCTGAGCTGACACACTGCACACGTTGCCATTCCAAATAAGCGACAAGAAGCCTGGATGGATTTGAGTCCGGAAAAAGCTCCAGAACAGCTGGACACATCCGTGCGCACATTCATTGACACGTCCATCTACACGTCCCTGTACACATCCATTCACACATTCATCGACACATCCATCTACACATCCATCTACATGCCCATGGACACATTCATCTACACGTCTATGTACACATCCATGCACACATTCATCTACATGTCCATCTACACATCCATGCACACATTCATCTACACATCCATGCACACATTCATCTACACATCCATCTACATGTCCATGGACACATTCATCTACACGTCTATGTACACATCCATGCACACATTCATCTACACGTCCATCTACACATCCATGCACACATTCATCTACACATCCATCTACATGCCCATGGACACATCTCCTACTATCTGCACAGGAAGCAGCAGAAAAAGGTCCTGATAAAATAAATGGCCTCTGTCCGAGGGCCAACAATACTCTCTGCTGGCCATTAAAACCAAAACAAAAATAGTTACACCTCATTTAAAGCTCCTTTATAATATCTCTCTATATATTTGGAGCCAAAGGTATGGCCTCAGCATACTGTCTTTTGTGCAGATGCACGCGCGCGTGCGTGAGAGCGGGTGCACGTGAGCGCGTGCGTGCTCGGACTTTCCAAGAGGCGGTACGTCCCTGGATGTTTACTCAGTTACGGCTATAAGCACAAATGGCTCCATCCTGTGGGAGGCAATAAGCATGATAGTATGATAGTAGCATGATAGTATTCTCTGGACCACAGACTTATCAAAGTGAACTTTCCTCTCACAGGAACCAGGTCACTGGCCCCCTGCTCCCAGTCGCACGTCTCTTCTGGTCCCACGGGGACTGAGGACCTTCCTTTAAGACAAGCGCAAACCCCTTTAGCTGTTCTCAGACTTCAGGGCCCCTTCTCCACACTTGAGAGATTAGAAGCCCAAGGCTTGCCTGCAGCGGTGAGTGGGCGACTCAGCCTACCCTGCACCATCGACCACCATAGAATAGAACCAGAAGGACTGTAAAGTTCACCAAAGGTATGATGTCAGATGCCAAGGGCCTGCAGATCTAGAGAATCCTTCTGGCTACTCTTGTTAAGGGCAGAAGAAGAGCAAAAAACTGAAACTAAAATCTTGGAAAATATTCCTCAGAGCAGGAGTCCACTTATGACAAGGAACGACCAAGAAGGGAAGGTCTTCTTGTCTTTGAAACCCCGTATCCTAATTTTCAACCCCCATTCAATTTTCCACTTATCTCCTATCTTCGGAAACAGGGAGGAAGTGAAGCTAAATTGTTGAAGTATGTCCTAAAGACTGGAACTTCCCGTGTGCTTGTAGCGGGACCCTCCAGGAGACATGCTGTCTGCAAGCTGCCCATCTCTGCAGCAACATAGCTTTACAAGGAGTAGATTGGCATGTATTTCAATTCAAATGAAAATTGAAAGAGTACATTTAATTTTCTCAATTTTTAGAATGTCTTAAACATCACTCTCTAACATCTCTGTGAAAAAGGATTTCAGAAGGGTACAGCTTCCTGGAAATGAAGACCATGTGGACTAAGCTCATGCTGCTTTTACTATTTGTGGAGATCAGCTCAACAGCAGAATCATCTTACAGTCTTCACATGGTCTCCACCAAACCTAAAGTTCCTCTTCCATGATACCACCAAACAAGCAAATGTTATGGGTTGCTTTTGTGGATGTTTCCTAAAAAAATATCTAGTAACATTCACATGCTTGCTGATCTAATACAAAAGACCCTCATGACTTACATCTCAAGCAGAGAAGTAGCTTTGTCTCAGGTAGTATGTTTTGTTATTAAGTTCTCTGAATCAATTACTTCAGCCAGCTAGATCTCATCATTCAAGCACATATACTGGTCAGAGTCTCAGAGATACTGAATGTAATAATATAACATGATACAGTCTATGGACAGTCCATGCCTTCGCTCCCTCCCTGCCAGACAGTCCATGCTTACGCTCCCTCCCTGCCAGACAGTCCATGCTTACGCTCCCTCCCTGCCAGACAGTCCATGCTTACGCTCCCTCCCTGCCAGACAGTCCATGCTTTTGCTCCCTCCCTGCCAGACAGTGGGAAGCTGGGAGGTAGAAAAAACATGGACCATCTGTGGGTCCGTGAGGAACGGACTGAGAAACATTAATGCTGAGCGCTAATGGTACTGCAGCTCAATTTTTTGCAATGTCAATTTTTAAACTTTCCTCTGGATATGGGTGTCCAAACGGAAAGGAATGTTTCATGCCTTTTCCTGGCTACATATATGTGGTTTCCCCCTATATCTGGTGATCTCACCTATAAGTGGAATTTATAACTTAATTAGTACATCCATCCGTCCATCCATCCCTCTATTCCAGAGTCAAAACCGATATACCTGCGTCACTGAGGAAAATCCCAAGCAAAACCATACATCTATTAAGTCTCAGCCAGAGACTTTTCTGCAGTTTTCTGGAGAATGAAATCACCACCAGCCTGAGTCCAATTGGCTGAAATCACCACCAGTCTGAGTCCTAATGGCTGAAATCCCCACCAGCCTGAGTCCTATTGGCTGAAATCCCCACCAGCCTGAGTCCTATTGGCTGAAAACTGGCCCACGGACACTTTCAATCTGAAACGAATTACGGCTGCGCCGTTTTACCTGCTAAAATGCTCAATCATTTGTTATGCTAGTGATTTATTTCAAGGTGAAAAATGATACATTTTGAAGTATGCAGTATGACTGGTTTATCAAAGCCGGCAAGTTGGAAACAAAATGAAAACAGATCAATCTCATGGTGAGAGTACCAGAGAGAACCAGGCTGAGCAACTGGAAAATCCCACAGCACTACTTAAAATTAGGGTTTTTGCATCATTATGAAGAAAATCCATTTTGGAGAACAAAGAAAGACTTCTAAAAGAAAACACTGTTACATATCCTGAAGGGGATTCAGGAGTCTTGCAGAAATAAAGCTTTCTCAACTTTGTGACATGAAGAGGCCCACAAATCACAAAGCATTATCTTAACACATAGAAATCATTTCCCTATATGTGTGAGCCAAAATATAACACCATCCAAGACACCATCCAACATGGTTTTTGGCAGGGAATTAAGCAACATGAGTTAAAAATTTCAGAAAACAATCTTAAATAACTGTCAAGCGAGGGGCTTAGATTGCAGGAAGAGCAACCCCCAGGGCAGAAAGGCTGTTAAACTGCATGCTGTGTTGTGCGGTGCTAGCACTGCATTTCCACAAGGACCCAACATCCAGACAGTCAAGGTTACAGACAACAATATTAGAAAGCGAATAAAAAAAGTTCAGGACAAATGATTTCTACACACTGGCAGGACTGGGGTTTGAATCTCACTGCACTGTGTGTGTGTGGGTCCATGCAGTGCAGGTCCCTCGCAGGGTCTCCAGTTTACTCCTGCGGTCCAAAGACATGCAGCAATTTGACCTGATGTCTCTAAACTTGACTCCATATGTATGGACTGGCATCCCTTCCAGGGTGTTCCCCCGCATTGTGTCTCGTACCACGTGGGAGAGGGTCCTCAGTTTCTCCCTTCTGAATATTTACATTACATATTTATGAGATGGTTTTATGTAAAGCAACAGACATTTTTGAGAAGATCCCTGGCATAACTAAGGGTGTGCTGCTGAAGAACCTAACGGTGACATCACTCTGCCAGTCACAGGATATGAACCGGCAACCTTCCAGTTAGTAACACAGTGCTCTAACCCACTGAGCCACAAGCCATTCCTCAAAACACACACACACACACACACACACACACACACACACACACACACA